TGCTCTAATCTTTATTATTTTTCTCTCCTCCTGCTTGGTTTAGGCTTTATTTGCTGTTCTTTCCAGCTCCTTTAGGTACAAGGTTAGGTTGTATATTTGAGACTTATCCTGTTTCTTGAGGAAGGCCTGTATTGGTATATACTTTCCTCTTAGGAACGCCTTAGGAGCACTGGCATCCCAAAGCTTTTGGACTGTTGTGTTTTCATTTTCATTTGCTTCCATGTATTTAATTGTTCTTTAATTTCCTGGTTGACCCATTCATTCTTTAGTAGGATGTTCTTTAACCTCCATGTATTTGTGTCCTTCCAATTTTTTCTTGTGGTTGTCTTCAAGTTTTATAGCATTGTGGTCTGAAAATATGCATGGTATGATCTCAGTCTTTTTGTACTGGTTGAGACCTGATTTGCGGCCAAGTATGTGATCTTTTCTGGAGAATATTCCATGCGTACTCAAGAAGAATGTGTATTCTGCTGCTTTAGGATGCAATGCTCTGAAGGGTATGTGTTAAGTCCATCTGGTCCAGTGTGTCATTCAGAGTCCTTTCCTTGTTGATATTTAGATGATCTGTCCATTGCTATAAGTGGGGTGTTAAAGTCCCCTATTATTATTGTATTATTATAAATGAGTTTCTTTAATTTGGTTATTAATTGGTTTATATATTTGGCTGCTCCCAAGTTAGGGGCATAAATATTTACAACTGTTAGATATTCTTGTTGGCTAGACCCTTTTATTATGATATGGTGTCCTCCTTCATCTCTTATTACAGTCTTTGGTTTAAAATCTGGTTTATCTGATGTAAGGATGGCTACTCCAGCTTTCCTTTGATGTCCATTAGCATGATAAATGGTTCTCTACCCCTTCACTTTCAATCTGGAAGTGTCTGGATCTAAAATGAGTCTCTTGTAAGCAGCATATCGATGGGTCTTGTTTTTTAATCCATTCTGATACTTTATGTCTTTTGATTAGAGCACTTAGTCCATTTACTTTCAAAATAATTACTGAAAGATATGAATTTAGTGCCATTGTATTACTTGTAAAGTTGCTGTTCCTGTAGATTGTCTCTGTTCCTTTCTGGTCTTTGTTACTTTTGGGCTTTCTCTCTGCTCAAAGGATCTCTTTTAATATTTCTTGCAGGGCTGGTTTAGTGTTCATAAATTCCTTCAGTTTTTGTTTGTCCTGGAAACTATCTCTCCCTCTATTCTGAATGACAGACTTGCTCAATAAAGTATTCTTGGCTGCATTATTTTCTCATTTAGCACGCTGAATATATCATGCCAGCCCTTTCTGGCCTGCCAGGTCTCTGTGGACATGTTTGCTCCCAGCCTTATGTGTCTACCCTTGTAGGTTAAGAACCTCTTGTCCTGAACTGCCTTCAGGATTTTCTCTTTATCTTTGAAATTTGCAAGCTTCACTATAATATGTCAAGCTGGTGACTTTTTTTTTTTTATTTTGAGAGCAGTTCTCTGCGCCTTCGGGACTTGAATGTCTGTTTCCGTCCCCAGATTAGAGGGTTCTTAGCTGTAATTTGTTCATATAAGCCTTCTGCCCCTTTCTCCTACTCCTCATCTTCTGGGAACCCTATAATATGGAGATCCATATATATGGATATATATCTCAGGGATCTTGAGAGCATGCTGTTACACCTGGAATTCTGCCCTGCTTTACCACCTGAGCACCTTTAAGTCAGGGACATCCCCCACTGCAGCAAACTTCTAAAAGTTCTGATTTTGCACTCCTCTGCTTATAATACTTTGCAGTATCCTTCTTAAGCAGGTTCCCTCCCTCCTCCATATTCTCCGCTATATAACCCTGGATTCAAGTCTCTGCAACTCCTACCTTCCAAACAGTGGTGGCTTTTCTACTTGTAGACGTGCAGCTTTTCTCTTCTTAGATCTCCGATTGATTCCTTAGATATTCAGAATGATTTGATAACTACCTAGCTGAATTCAAGGGATGAGACGAACTGAGGGTCCCCCTACTCCTCCTTTGAGAGAAGGAATTTTAAGCAGCTTCACTCCCAGGGCAGAGCCTGTCAGGGGGGTTGATCTCACAACCCTAAGATAATGACTTGAGCTGAAATCAAGAGTCTGACGTTTAACCAACTGAGCCACCCAGGTGCCCCAACGTGAATTTATTTTAGGATTAGGAAATCAATTAGAGGAGTTCTCATATCATGAATACTTTGATAAAACATTTTTATCACTAAAAGTCACAAAATTCATTAAAGATTTTAAAGATATCCCATCAAAAATATTTCAAACTACAACCAAAGATAACAGTATTCTTAACCCTAAGAACAGGACAAGGATTTCTAGAGAAATGGTATACGAATTGACGATTTTAAAAAAACCCAGGTTTTTGTTTGGATTCTGCTTCGAATTAGAAATTTTATCTTAGGAAATCATGTAATTTCAGCCTGTGACAAAGTAACAGATTTCTAAGGAACATTTTTGCATCAAGAAATATCATACAGAGAATTTATAGGAATGAAAACTCTACCAGTTAGTTGCTTGGGAGGAAAGCAAGCACATTAGCTTTATTTTTTTAACTGGTGAAACTGTTTAAAACAAGTTTACTTCAGTCTGTCTAGGAGAGAAGTAATCCTGCCCAAAGAAAAATACAGGTAAGAAAAGAATACCTTTATTTTATCCAGTAATGGAATATACAGTGTATCCAACTATCTTATAGGAGCTCATTTTAAAGGAAAGGATTATTAGTTTTCAATCCTTTATGTTAACCATTTCATAGATAGCCTTTATGAATATATAGGAAGGCATTTTAATGTAAATATTACAGTAAAAATGAAAACAGTAGTTTTGCAAATTCATGTCTCTGGCACAAATATCAAAATTATAACCAAGGTTTCTTGGAGAAGTGGCTGATTCCATATCTGAGGCAGGGAAAGTACAAAATGAGAGAGGAACATCGTTGATGCAAAAAAGCTACAGAGACAATATGAGAAGAAAAAAAATTATGGTAATGGATTATAACAAAAAAATAAAGACCAATGAAACCATCATATTAAAAAAGAGGGGAAAACTCTTCTTTACTGAAAAATGACAGCTAACAAATGTATAAAAATGAGAGAATATAATCATTTGTAATCACTCCTTATAATATTTATCTCAGGCAAGGATTATCAATGGATGCTAAGACCACTGGATGAAGTTTTTGGTAGAAAGTATACCCGTACTATCTTCGAGTATTTCCTCCAATTATTTATAAAGTATACAAATGGAAAGTTCTGATCTTACCACCTTAACCATGTGGTCAAGCTTAGCTTCAACCAATGCACAACCTTATATTTTAGCTTCCTGATGTGATCAAGTGGGAGATATACATATCACTCTGCCAGAAATGACCTAAGTCTAATCAAGAAGAAATGGTCACATGAATCCAGATGTGGAATATTCTGGATTGTATAAAGGATTCTTTGTCATACACAGAGGAAGGCTAAGGACTGGGTTTGAGGGAGACTACACAGACATAGCAGTCAAATGCAATGATACATAAATTTGGATTGGATCCTGGATTTAAAAAACCAAAAAGCTAACAAGGATATTTTAGGGAAATTTGAGTGTAGATTAAAATAATGTTTTTTTTTTAAGGTATGGTAATAGTGGTGTGGTTGTGTAGTAAAATGTCCTCAGGGGAAAAACATGCCAAAATATTTAGGAGTGAAGTGTCATAATGCCTGCAGTCAATGTCCAAATGTTTGGGAAAAGAGTGTGTGTATGTTTAGAAAGAGATGGAATGGATGTGGCAAGACATTAAGAATTATCTGGGTAAGGGGAAAAGAAGTGTTCACTGTACAGCTTTTAACCTTTTTATGGGTTTGAAAATTTCTAAAAACAAAAGAATACAAAATTAATGGGAAACAATTTCTCATAGTGAGTGAGAGGAGAGCTCTAGAATCAACAGACTTGTATTTACATCTAGTTTTGCTACTTCCTAGAGGGAGAACCCTAAAGCAAGTTACTTGAGTTTTTTTATCTTTAAAATGGGTTTTTCTCTTTGTTCCTCCATAATTCACTTTACACTTTCAAACTTTACCACAACACTTATGAATTGATTCATATCCATACCAGAAGAAAAGGCAAATAGATGTTATGTCTTCCTTGTCTCTTTATATGAAAGTAAACTTACATTTCCCAGTTTTAATTTGCATAAGCCTCACAATTCAAACCAAGAAACAATTCATTAGTTTAACACAAAAATATCAGATTTAGTCTTGATAACAGAATTGAAAATAACAACACATTCACATATTGTACAAGTGCCAGCATGATACGATCAAAACAATGCTGGGCTCAGTACAGCCAGGAGAAGGTATGAGTCTAAATTCTGGCTTTAACTGGGTGGCTCAGTCAGTTACGTGTCTGCCTTCGGCTCAGGTCAGAGTACCGGGATCGAGTCCCGCATCGGGCTCCCTGCTCAGTGGGGAGCCTGCTTCTCCCTCTCCCTCTGCCCCTCCCCCTGCTCCTTCTCTCTCTCTCTCTCTGTCTCCCTCACTCTTTCTCAAATAAATAAATAAAATCTTAAAAAAAATAAATTCTGGCTTTAATTCGTATATAACTTTGAGTGAGTCAACAACCTCTCATGGTTTCATTTACCAATAAAAAAGAGGTCAAACCAGATTTCTCCAGTCCTATGCTGCTCTAAGATTCTGCAGGCCAACAGTAGGTTTTCTTCTCTTACTTCTTATGCCTTCTATTTTCTTTTTGAGGCTTCTTTTTAATTTTACACTTCAGGTGTATTAATGTTCACAATATTCTTAGCCTAAACCCCTCTCCTCCTCTTCACCTTCCTCTGTCCCCACTTTAGCCCCACTCTAGCTCAAATGGTAGGGGTATCCTGAGATGACTTTTATTTGAAATTTAGCACAACTGGTTTAGGTTAGCTGATAGTTAATCAGCTAGGTCCATTAGGCAAAAGCTTAGGTAGTATTTAGTCTTGGGTTGTGAAATTCTGTAAACGTTTAAAGTTTAAAGACTCCTTACTTCCTTCCTGGTTCTTATGGCAGCATCTTGCACAAGCCGAGAGACTGTTTCTTTCATTTTCTCTATATTTTCTTCTTTTTGCTTCTCTTCAAGTAGAGCCTTCAGAAAAATAATCACATAATCATTTCATGTTATTATAAATCACATCATTATTAATAAAGATAACACAGTAAATGAATAAAAACCTCTCCACTAATCACTTGTTGAAAGCAAATATCTTATTCTAAACTTCTGGGACATCACTTGGAATCTTGCCTAAGTTATGAATGAGACTTATTTTCCCTAACCTTCTCACCTGACCTTGTCCTAAAAATTTATTATTTTACTCTGGTATTTATTTCGGCCAGGGCCATCACTCTTCTAACCTCTACAGCTAGAAATCTTAAGAGTTATTTTTCAATTTTCCTTTACTCACTATACAAAATGCCATCAAGTCTAGGTATTAAAGTCTTGGAAAAAAAATCTCTTGGACTTCCCTTTCTTTCCATTATTTGGTATTATTCAAATTATGTCCCTTGTCACCTAACTCCTTGATGTTTCTATTTATTCAATCATTTTCCTCTCCCAACTAAAAAATACTCTTATAATCCCAGTTCTGTTGTCAGCACACCTCATTTCTCTGCTCCCCTCTGGAGCAAAACTCCTTTATAGTCTGTGTTTGCTCATCTCCAATACTTTTTCTCTCTTACACCAACTCCAATCAGGCTTTCACCATCCATAGTCTCCATTAATAACCCATGAGTCAAATTTGAATAACTATCTTATTTGATCTGTCAGCAGCACTTGAGATAACTGATTACTCTTTTGTTTTACTTTATTTGGCTTTCAGCACACCACAGTATTGGTTTTCCTCCTAATTCACTGATCAATCCTTTTTAGTCTACACTCCTGTTTCTTCTTCTGAACCTCTTTAAAAATTGCACTACCAGGGGCACCTGGGTGGCTCAGCTGGTTAAGCTCAGGTCCTGATCCCAGGGTCCTTAGGATCGAGCCCTGTGTTGTGTTGGGCTCCCTGCTCAGTGGGGAGTCCGCTTCTCACTCTTCCTCTCCCGCTGTCCCTCTCCCCCTGCTCCAGTTCTCTCACTCTCTCTGTCTCAAATAAATAAATAAATAAAATCTTAAAAAAAAAATTGCGCTACCCATCAGAGGGGAGATAGGTGGGGGGGTGGGTGAAACAGGTGATGGGATTAAGAAGTGCATGTGAAGTGATGAGCACTGGTGATGTATGGAATTGCTGAATCACTATATTGTACACCTGAAACGAATATAATGCTGTATGTTAACTATACTGGAATTAAAATAAAAGCTGAATTAAACAAATAAAAATAGTACTACCCAAGACTTAAGTCCTTAGTCCTTTATCTTCATCTGTCCCTTGATGGTCTAATCCAGTATCTTGGTTTTAAATATCATTTATATGCTGACAACTCCCAAATTTATCTCTAGGCCAAATATCTTTCTGAACTGGGTGTTAATACACAACTAATAAATTACTGAACACTACATCTGGAACTAATGATGTACTATACTATATGTTGGCTAATTGAATTTAAATAAAAAATTAAAAAACCCAAAAATATCTGAGCCTGAAACTGCTCCAATTTTAGGCCTGACTGAATCTCTTTTTTTTTTATCATTACATAATAAATGGCCTTGTGTTCTGATCCCACTACCTTCCAAAGATACCATACACATTCCTGCTTTTTTTAAATTGTTTAACAAATTTCTTCCTGCTTAAATAGGTAAGCTAGTGAGAATTAACAGCTATTTTTTATTCAAATAGAATTAATAGGGTGTTACATTAATTTCAGGTGTACAATATAATGATTCAGCAGGGTTTTTTTTAAATTATTTTTTATTTCTTTATTTTTAAGTAGGCTCCATGCCCAATGTGGGGGCTGAAGTCATGACCCTGCGTTCAAGAGTTGCATGCTCTACCGACTGAGCCAGCCAGGCACCCATGATTCAATAGTTCTATACATTACTCAGTGCTCATCATAATAAGTGTACTCTTTTTTTTTTTTAAAGATTTTTATTTATTTATTTGACAGAGACAGAGAGAGACACAGCGAGAGAGGGAACACAGGCAGGGGGAGTGGGAGAGGGAGAAGCAGTCTTCCTGCGGAGCAAGGAGCCTGATGCAGGACTCGATCCCAGGACTCTGGGATCATTACCTGAGCTGAATGCAGATTCTTAACCAACTGAACCACCCAGGCGTCCCAGTAAGTGTACTCTTAATCCCCTTCCCCTATTTCACCCATCTCCCCATCCACCTGCCCTCCCTCAACCACCAGTTTGTTCTCCATATTTAAGAGTCTGTCTCTTTTTGTTCATTTGTTTCTTAAATTCCACATAAGTAAAATCATATGGTATTTGTCTTTCTCTGACTTACTTCACTTAGTATTAGACCCTCTAGGTCCATCCATGTCATTACAAATGGCAAGATTTCATTCTTTTTATGACTGAGTAATGTTCCATTGTATATATACACCACATCTTTATCCATTCACATATGGATGGGAACTGGGTTGCTTCCATTGTCCTGGCTATTGTAAATTATACAGTAACAGCTGTTTTGATGTAACAACTTTGTGGGAGAGAATGGGACAATGAAGAAATAGGGAAGCATCATAAAAGAACAATAATAGGCTGTGTTTGATGTCTGTTTGTATGATCAGTGGAGAGAATCCTTGACTTTCTGGAACAAGCAACTAAAGGTTGCTTCTATAACAATTAAACAGTGGGTCAGGAGGGAGCTTAATACTGTAGCCATAAATGGGCTCTTTAAGGGTCTGTTGACTTTGGACCTGAGTGAGTAGATTTAAGGGATAGGCAATGAATATAGCTACTTCTCTGTCCATTGTGCTTTACACAAAATGTTCATCTTTAGTGACCTGATATTAACAATGCTCATATGACTAGGCTTCAGAGGGGAAAGATAAACAATTTTGTCTTGCTCTGAACTGTTTTAGCTAACTTAGAGTTTAGAGCAATTCCCAAGCATATTATATCTATGTTGTGCCTTTCAACCATTCTAAGAGACAGTATTCAAATCACAGATGAAATTATTAGCTGAAAGGCATGACAAGCACCTTTGCATTCTCAAGGTTTAGATTTGAATATTATTTCCTTTTTACTTATTAGCTTCTTAATATGTGACTTATATAGCTTGTTTCATTTTTAAAAGCCCTCTTGAAAAACCCTCTACTATGTAAAAAAGGAAACATAAGTAAAGCATTTCCTTTGTACTCCCCATATTTCCCAGCAATTATGCATATGTTAGGTATTCAATAAATGTTGGTTAAATGAAGTAATGATTTAATGATCTCTAAATAAAGGAGGAAAGAATATTAAAAACAAATCTATCCACTTGGTGACCTCTATGAACTATATACCATTTATATGGAAGTAATAAAAGAAAAAAACTATAATATGTGATAGCATAGGAATCACAATTGTTAGAGGGTTAAAAAAAGAACAGTGACATGAAGGTTCTAGTTAATAAATCTTTACAGCTAAATTTAATTCCTGTCAATTAAGCTTCTGCTCTATTAGAGTAATTATGTAAGTGATGAAGGGGAAATGAAGATGAGTAAGATTAATCTGATTCAACTGAATAAAATAGAGGGTATACTGCATTAAAGTGCTATAGCAGATTTTTTAAAGTATGAGACTATAGGGGATGAGTATTATTTACATCAGGATTGGAGACATAAGATCTGATATGAAAGCTTTGGGAAAAGGTTTGACATTTTATCATATTTTGTTTTATTTTATTGTTTTTTTAGTTATCTCTACACCCAATGTGAGGCTTAAACTCATGACCCAGAGATCGAGTCGCATGCTCTTCCAACTGAGTCATCCAGGTGCCCCCATTTTATCATGTTTTATGATTAAGTCTTACCACGAAGAATATGTCTGCTAATGGAGAGCAAAGTAGTTTCATTTTCATGTGTTCATTCTGTAATTATTGACTCCCTTATTAGGTCATATTATATTATTTGTAAACATGTTTACTAGTTTTCTTACCTGATTTTTTTGAAGGTTAGCTTCTTCTAAGAGCTGCATGCTATTTCTGGCTCTTACAATAGCTTCATATTTTTCGTTTTCTAATTCATTGCACTTTGCTTGTAATTCTCTAGTCTGTTTTTCCAAATGTGTTTTTTGTGCTCTTAATTGGGTGGCTTCTTGGATTGCTACACAGAGTCTAAAAGTAAATAATTACATTGCGAAAGTCAAATATTTTTAAAGGGAAGAAGGAAAATATAGATTTACTGAGCATCTATAATAGAACAAACACTATTCCGGTTACTTTCACATTTATTTTCTCATTTGATCTGCACCAAAGTTTTATAAAGTAGGTTTCATTATTTCCATTTTAAAGAACAACAGACCCAAAGAGGTGAAGCATTTGATTAAGGCCATATGGCTAATGAGCTATGGGGCTGAGACTGAGCCTAGATATTCTGACTCTAATTATGTTACACTTTCTACAGTATCACAGCATATTATAGTTACATGACAATGTTTTAGAGCAACTCCTTAAAGAATGAGTTATTCTTTCTATTTATATGATCTTTTAAAATTTTTCCTTTTTTGCTTGGCTTCCTTTACCCACTCTCTACCCAGGTAACCCATGTTGATTTACTAATGTGTATCGATTTATATTTTTCTCCATGTTCATAAAATCATATACACATGTACATACACAGATAAACATACAAAGTATATACACATTGGTCCATAGGTTTTTAAACATAATTTGTTATAAAAATGAAAATTATAATATACACCCTTCTCTGCACTTGCTTTTCTCATTCTGTATCTTAGAGAAATCCCCTCAAGCAATACATCCAAAAGCTCTTTCTTTTCCTAGTCTGATGGATGGAACTTCATCTCACTGTTAATTTGTATTTCCCTGATTACTGGAGGGTTTAAGCATATTTTTAGTTTGTCAGCCATGTGAACTGTCCGTTTTGAATTTCCTCTTCATATCCTCTGCCAATTTTTTTTCTGATGGGTTATTTTCTTGTTCTTCTATATGAACTCTTTGAATGTTAAGATATAAACCTTCAGGCTATTCTGTATGCTACAAATATTTTTCCCAAATCTACTTTTTTTGTTGCCTACTGACTCTATTTAGGAATTTACTAAACTAAAATGTTCACTTTAATACAGTTAAATTTGATTTTTTTTCCAGCTTGTAGGATTTCATTTTTTATAAAGACTATTTCCTTCTTCCATAGATTGTTAATGTAATTTCCTAGATTTCCTCAAAAGATTGCTATGCCTTTAATATTTTTACTAGTAAATCTTAAATGCATCTGGAGTTCACTTTTTTTTAAAGATTTTAATTTATTTGAGAGAGAGAGAGAGACATAGTGAGAGAGAGAGAGAATAAGCAGGGAGGAGAGGGAGAAGCAGACTCCCACTGAGCAGGGAGCCCAATGTGGGACTCGATCCCAGGACTCTGGGATCATGACCTGAGCCAAAGGCAGACACTTGACCGACTGAACCACCCAGGCACTCCTGGAGTTTACTTCTGAATGTGTTATAAGAGAGAAGTCCAATTTAACTTCCAGACTGATGGTCAGTTGTAGGAATACCATTAGTAACTGATGAATTGAAATAATCCCCTTAACATACTTAAAATATGCAAATATAATGATTTACTTATGGATTATCATGTTTCATTGATCTATTCTATACCCAAATCAGATCAATATGGCTTTATAATAGGTTCTGATACATTCTGGTAAAATAACTTCTCTTACATTTCATATTTTTCTTTGTTATTTTCAGGCATTTCTTTTTTCTAAGTGATGGCAGGAGAAGCATTCTCTAGCCTCTTCCCACTCCCGCTACCCACACCGAAGAACCGGGAGGAAACTTCCCTGCTGTAGCACACCTCAGACTCTCCCAGTTTTGGGAAATGAGAGAACTCAGCCTACCTTTTAGATCTCTATTTTTAAACATTTTTGTTGTTGCTGTTGTTTGGTATATCTGCTTCATTCTGAATGGAGTTAAGGTCTACCACCATTTTAGTCAGGGTTCTTAGTTGCCAGTAGTAGAAGCCAACTCTAATTTAAGCAGAAAAAGGGTTTATTAAAAAGGATATTGGTAAGTTCACAGACTTACTGCGAGAGCTGGAAAATCGAGTTTGAATCTTTGCAGCAAGGGACATGCTCAAAACTTCACCACAGAATTAGCTGATTCTCTCATGAAGAGCTATAATCTGGGGAATTCCAGATTCAGATGGCCCAAAATAATGACCATAACTATATTTTTATCAAAACCACCCTTTCATCAAATTTCCTAGCTTTTGCGTCACATATTTAGCTATCCTATTACTTGCTGTACTTAGGTATATTAATGTTGTATCTTTTTCAAAACGGTGTCATTTTTCAATACATAAGGTCCCTCTTTATTCTGTTTACTGCTTTTTACCATGAAACCAGACCTTGTGTAATATTAAGACTGTCCCTCCTCCTTTCTTTTTGTTTAAGTTGCTAATGTGCTCCACTAAAACCTTTATTTTAAATTTAAAACTAATTCTCTTCATCTTCCCTTCCTTGAGAGCTATGTTCTAGTTCATTTACTCTTTGTTTTAGGTGTTTTCTAATATATTACTGGGCCTTACTTTTTTTTTTTTTTTAGATTTATTCATTTATATTTAGAGAGAGAAAGAGAGACAGAGAGCAAGGGGGGAAAGGGTAGAAGGAGAGAGAGAATCTCAAGCAGACTCCCCGCTGAATGCAGAGCCTGACTTGGGACTCAATCTCATCACCCATGAGATCATGACCTGAGCCAAAATATATGACATTATTCATTCTATTTTACTGTAAAGCATTCGTGGAAGAAAATGAAGCAGCCCCAACCTCTCTCAAAGAGGCATAGGACATATAGCACTTTACTAGTATTAGTTCACCATTTGTTTCACCATGGCCTCTTCGGGGCCAGGCAGAGCAGGTGACTCATGAAGGGCATGCACCTACTTCATCTCTCAAGAACAAGCTTTGTTCAGGACTGGGTGAATTCCAACCCTGAGTCAAGGCTCCCTGACATTCTCACCCAGGCTTCACACCTAGTCATGTCAGAAAAAGCCTTGCAACTAAAAGTTTCACATGCATTCAACGGTCTAGCAGCCCCAGCAGCCACTTGGCTCTGAAAAGTCAGACTGGTTTTAGCAGTGAAGTGGAGTTACAGTAAAGCAGATTCAGACCATCAGCTTCATAATTTATAGGTTTCCACAATTTTATAACATAAAAGACATATTACTACTATTCTTATTCTCATAAAGGCACTTCTACATGCTCTTATAAGCCAAATCTTATAAGAATCCCGTCAACTTACTAAAATTGGGTCAAGTTCCCTCCTTGTAATAATGGTAACGAAAAGGATAACAGCAAAAACGTATAATTACATTCTTTGTGCTAGGTACTTTATATGAAAGAAAACATAATCCTCAATATCTTCAACAGTGCTGTGAGATAGGTTATATCATTAACCTATGAGGTAGGATATAAGCTTTTATTATAGGAGACATAAGACAGGTTATAGCATTACATTTATTTTATAGATGGAGAAAGAGTAGTACAGAAAGGGTAAGCAACATGACCAAGGTTATTTATCTAGTTACTGGTGAAGTCAGAGTTAGAACTCAGTCTGGGTCCAGAGTCCATGTTCCTAATAAATATACTGCCAAACACAAACTTCCACTTAAATGATACAGATTCAGCCCACAGATCTATGTACCTATAACTACACAGCAAGGGGCTGTCATTTCAAGTAAAGTTGGGGGTAAGAAGGCATACTAAAACCTACGGTATTGAATAAAGTCTGAATATTGAACATCATTACTCCCAGACTCTTTCTTCAACTTTGGAATACACTCAGGCTTGTGCATTTTTATTCCCAGGCCACAGCAGAAGACTGACAAATCCTACCCTGGGGAAACTGGCCCAGCAAAGACTCTGATATACGGGAACTGCTTGAGGAAAAAGCCAGCTTACTGCCTCAACATAATACAGTAAAGTCCACCAGATCACAACCCACCTATGCACACTTAGCCTCTTAATCTGCTTTTTGGTGTCTCTCTTTTTTTTTTAACTGAAATATATTTGACATGTAACATTATATTAGTTTCAAGTGTACAACATAATGATTTGGTATTTGTATACAATGTAAACTGGTCACCACAATAAATCTAGTTAATATACACAACCACATATAGCTATTTTTTTCTTATGATAAGAATGTTTAAGATCTATTCTCTTAGCAACTTTCAAATATACAGTACAGTATTATTAACTATAGTCACCATTTTATACATTACATCCTATCATGTATGTCTTTTATAACTGGAAATTCATAACTTTTGACCACCTTCACCCATCTCACCCCCCCAACCCAACCACCAGTCTGTTCTCTACCTACAAGTTTGGTTTTTAAAGATATGGAATGATTCATGAATTTGTCTGTGGGCCATGCTAATTTTCTCTGTATTCCAATTTTTATGTGCTGCTAAAGCAAGTACTTTGTTATCTTACTCTTAAATATCAATGGATAGAAGGGATCACCAAGCACCAAGAAAGACAGAAGGGCATATAGGAAAAAAAGGAATATTGAGAAAGCAGAGACAATAACAGAAGAAAACCTCATAATATATATATTTAATATACTGAACTAAGATATAACATCTGTTAAATAAGAATAAGCTACTACAGAAAAAGAAACAGAATAAGAAATGGCTCTTTAAAATAAAATTAAGATAGCTAAAATAAAATATTCAATAGATGGTTAATTAGAAGAAAATTTAAGGAAACCTCCAAGAAAGGAGAAAATAAATGAAGGAATGAAAAACAAGAGAGAAAAGAAAGGAAAATTAGGGAATTGATCCGTAAGGTCCAATATTTAACTAATATTAAGTTCAAGCAAAATGAACAGAGAAAAAATGAAGAAAACTATCAAATGAAAAAATCTATAAAAAAATTCCTTGAACTGAAGGAAATGAATTTCTAGACTGAAATTTCCCGGTAAGATGAATGAAAAAGGATTCTCACAGCATGTACACACTGTGCAATTTTAGAACACTGATTGTGGTGGTGGTGGGTGGATGATCCTAAAAGTCTCCAGAGGGAAAAGAGGAATCATATATAAAAAACTAATTTTGAATGACATAAGAATATTTTCCTATAGCTAGAGGCTAGACAATTTAAGGAAAATATCAACATTCTAAGGAAAAAGGATTTAAAACCTTGGATTTCCAACCTATGATTCATTACTCAACAAAACTATCAAGCACCTTTGAAAGTAGGATAAAGATATTTCTAAATAAGCAAATCTTAAAAAATGTGTCCCATGCATGGAGGACATTAGGAGAAGGAAGGGAAAAATAAAGGAAGGGGGGCAATCAGAGTGGGAGACGAACCATGAGAGATTATGGATTCCAAGAAACAAATTGAAGGTTTTAGAGGGGAGGGGGCTGGGGGGATGGGTTAGCCTGGTGATGGGTATTAAGGAGGGCACGTATTGCATGGAGCACTGGGTGTTACAAGCAAACAAAGAATCATGGAACACTACATCAAAAACTAATGATGAAAAAAAAAAACTAATGATGTATTTGTATGGTGACTAACATAACATAATGAAATAAAATTAAATTAAAAAAAATGTGTCCCATGTATCTTCAGAAAGCTGATGGAGAATTAAAATGAGAGGGTCAATAAAGAAGCAGCCATGGGAATGCAAAAGACACAGGCTCCAATACAGAATGGCAAGAAGGAAATCCCAGGACCACAGCAAATTAAGGTTTTAAAATGAGAGCTTGCATCAGTCCTAGTGAACGGTCTTAGGCAGGGGATGGAGAACACCAATGGATTTCTTCAAGAAAAGGATGTAATTACAATGACCTCATGTGGTTGACCAGACTGAGAGGCATTTTAGAGCTTTGACAGAGTACTTGGCTATGAATTAGTATGAAGTACATAGAAAACTTGCGATGTGAAGAAATGAGATAATTAACAAGAAACCATTGTTCATTATAATGCTTGTGGTACTGTATGCTTTTGAAACAATGCTTATATATTTTTCCTTTGATAAAAACAAAAGTAACAATGAATAAAGCCAATTTATCCAATTTATAACATACAAAACTTTTCTTACAGAACTGATACAATAATTAAATAATTTTATTTGGTCAATGGCAATATTCAAAAATATTCAGATTAATTTGCAAACATTTCATAATAAATCAAGGAGTTATAACTGTGGAAAAGATTTAAGACGTTTATTCTTTGTAACAATGAAGACTGTTTTATCCTTTGTGACAGTTGATCACAGACCTTTTTTCTACCTTGTTCTATTTCGTTAAGGCCATTAAAACAATTAAAATCCAAAACCATTTTTTACCATTGGGAATAATTATCATTTATTATTATAAGTAGACTCATTTTAGAATAATAAACTTGGTGCTGGGTCCCCTACATATTCTTCTCTCATTTAATCCTAACGAAACTGCAGCTAAGTGAGGTTGGTTAACTTCTCTAAGATATAAAGACAGAATGTACCAGAACCAGAAATCAAAGCAATTCTGCCTCTAAATCTCAAAATCTTTTTACTCCAACAATTTATAGTCCCGTCCCCAGATAGCCTTACTTTGAGAATATCATCAAATTAATCTTTGTAAAATACTAATTTCATCATGCAGTCTTAGATAAAGAATTTGTATGTAATACATCACATGAAATCCAAATTTGACTAATTTTATTTCCAAGGTCCTCCATATTTTATCCAACCATATTCACTAATTTCCAATGCATGGCCTTCCAAAAGACCATATTTCAACATCTTTAATGAAAGAATTTACGTATTTTATTATGCTTAGGAGTACGGCAGCAAACAAAAAGCTGAACAATGATTAGAATGAAATTCACTATTTATCAGTCACCTAAACGAAAATTTCTTAGTCCTATTTGCATATTATTTTAAAAGAAACACCAAATTTAAAAGTATGAAGAGGTAGTTTAAACCAATTCCACTCATTTAACTTCTGCCTTATTTAGCTGAGCATATACAAACCAGCAAAATCTTTCCCAGAAAAAACTGTCATTCTCTGGAGGCAATTCCCAGGATCCATGAATCATCTAAAAGGGGAGAGGAGGGACCCTTTCTTTGAAAGACAGAACGAAATAACTTATGCTTCTTAGGTGTTTATGACATTTGAAAGGATCACGAATAATAATTTTAAAAATAATAATTTTAATAATGGCAAAAAAGCATTTATTGAGGCCAAAATGTCTCTGATTTTGTGGAACAGAGATGACTATTAAAAACAAAACTTTTCTAACTGGCAGTTCCATTAAATAGGATACATTTACACCTAAAACAGATTGGCTGAATGGTGCTTAGAAACACACATCAAGTACACTAGTAACTCTGCTTTCTCTTAATCAGTAGTACAAGAGATTTTTTAAGCTTTAAAGTATATAAGCTTTTTTTTTTATCATAACAGTAACAATATTAGTTTAATAGCTCTAAAAGGCAGTCAATGTAAAAATTTCCTTTTCAGAGGTGGCTAGCTGCATACTGGACTTTAAAAAATATCCTTAGATTTTCTTATACATGCACTGATCTCTTCTTAGCTATTTGGTTAGGTTGTATTATAGCTTCATACTAAAAGCAAAAAAATTTAAAACAACAATAACAAAAATCCACAAACTCTCAAAACTAAAAAGACAAAGCACTGTTAAATGAAAAAAACAATTTGATTCTTTATGATTCAGTATTATTAGAATCAAAAGGAATTAAAATTCACTGTTCAAGAGTTTACTGTTTTAAGTCTCTAGCATTTATTTTCATAGCATAGAATATCTACTAAGATAATAGAAATGAAAATCTACAACCAGACTTTTTTTCTAAGGTTAACACAAAGAAGTTCAGGAAAGCAGTAGTATAATCAAATCAATCAATAAACTGCTGTAAAGTTTAGAAAAGTGAAAAGCAAAACCCAAAACCCTAGCACTTAAAAATTACAACTTTTTTCATCAAAGTCTCAAGTTAGTAGTTAAAATCAATTAGTTCTCAACTGCCATGAGGAAAGAAATTATTTTTATTAATACTCTGAAGAAGAGGAAACAGAAGGTCAAACATACTAATTTTTTTTTCTCAACAAACAATAAATTAACTTTGGATCTATGACTAGAACTGAGATCTCAATTTTTAATGTGCTCAGATCAGCAGACTATTTCTCAGTGTAAAAGATTCCAATCATACAGAGTAGATTTTTTGGCTATTACTCATAAAGTGAATTTATGGGCTATGGTCATCACTGTTATCTTTAATAGATTACAAATGACAATTTTCAAATCTTTTAAGGGAACATTCAACGAGGACTAGGAAATAACAAAAACAACAAAAGATTTTATAGTGCACATTTACATTAAGATAGCAATTAAAGACAACCTACAGAATATATTTAAAGAGTAGTCCAGACCTTCAAAGATAATTGAAAATTACTGCTCCAGAAGACTCCAGAGAAAACCTATAATGATTTCTTGAGTACTTTTTCTCTTGTGTACCTACTTAGTAAGATAGTTTTTCTGTTTAATTTTTACCCAACTTTGTTTTTTTGCTTTAAGATGGAAAGAACATTTCTGATTTGGGGATTGACTAAACTTGACTATGACTGCTTTGGGGAAAAGGTAGACAGAAATGATCTTTGAATATACATTCAAAATATATCAATGTTTTGAACATGATTTTTAAAATAATGTCCAGTAAATCAGATTTAAAACCTAGGATTATAGTTTGTTTAGCAGTTATAAAATACATATTCTAGAAAATATCATAAACTGAAACTCCAATGTGGAAAACATTTTGAAGCTTACAGAGAAAGCTAGACGTATTTAACAATTTACCTTGTTTCTAATTGTTTTATACTAGATTGTAACTGCTGTAAACGCCTATCTGATGCTTCCTCTCTTCCTTGGGCAGACAACATTTCCTCCTCCTAGAAAATAAAGAAACTGGAAGCTTGAGTATGTGAACATACAATACATCATTATACAACATAAAGAAAAGAATTCACTCTATAAAGTTATTACACTTCTAGAATTTAATATGTAAGTTTAAAGAAGGGATACCAATATAGCATTATCTAATCAACTCCTTAAAAATTGATCTAGATGTCTGAGAGCTGTCCATGAAATCTGTTTCACTAAAAAACATTCTGTAGCATAGTATTTACGGTACGACTCCTTTCACATTAAAAAAATTTAAACATATATGCATATATATATACACACACAGAAAAAACGTCTTTATGCTATAAACAATCTGTTAACAGTGATTATTTCCTAGGGATAGACCTGCAAGGTAATCTTGCATTACCTCTATTATATATTTTGTATATATGTTGTGCTTTTCTTTATATTTTTCAATATTATTTGAATTTTTAGGAATAGCATGCACTACTTTTATAACTAGAAAAGGAATAAAATTGAAAATAAACAAGCAATAACAGTTTGGAAATAAATCATGTACATAGTAAAAAAAGGGGAAGAAAATCTCACTATCAATTTTGTATTAGAAAAACAATAATAAAAAGTCATTGCATATAAATGTCTACCAATATTTCAAAATATTTCTATAGTGCAAATCTAACAAAACAAAGCAGGGATTTGTATGCAAATAATCTGCCTTTAGAATATGCTCTTTTAAAACTGTTTTACAATTGTTGTTGCTCTTAATTTCTTCCTATATCTGAGTCACCATCTGGTGTCCTTTCCTTCTTGCCTAAAGAATTTCTTTTGGAACATTCTTTGAACAATAGCTCTGCTAGTGACAAATCCTCTCGTGTCATTTATCTGAAAATGCCTTTATTTTACCTTCATTTTTGAAGTACAGTTTCACTGGACATAGAATTCTTAGTGAGCATTTTTTTCCCTTCAGCACTTCAGATATATTATTCCAATGTTTTTTGCTTACACGTTTCTTCTAAGTCAGCCATTACTCTTACCACTGTTGCCCAGTTCATGCCATTTTCCTGTTGCTGCATTCAAGTTTTCACTTTATAACTGGCTGTCAGTATTGTCATGATGTGTAGAAGTAATTTTCTTTGTGTTTATCCTACCTGTTTTCCACCAAATTTTGGAAGTTTCCGGCCATTATTACTTTAAACATTTTTTCTGTCCCCCTCCCTTCTGCAATTCCAATTACATTCCTGTTGGCTTGCTTCGTATTTTCCCACAGATCTCTGAGGTCTTGTTCATTTTTCTTCCATCTTTTATTTTATTTTAAAGATTTTTATTTAGTTATTTGACACAGAGAGAGAGAGAGCATGCACAAGCAGGGGGGAGTGGCAGGCAGAGGGAGAGGGAGAAGCAGGCTCCCTGCTGAGCACGAAGCCCAATGCGGGACATGATCCCAGGACCCTGGGAACATGACCTGAGCTGAAATCAAGAGCCACCTGCTTAACCGACTGAGCCACCCATTTTTCTTCCATCTTTTAAACTCTGTTTTTTGGATAGGAAAATTTCTGTTGATCTGTCTTCAAGTTCATGGCTTATTTCTTCTGCTTTTTCCAATCTATTCTTGAGCCCATCTAATTAAATTTTTATTTTGGTTGCTGTACTTTTAAACTCCAGAATTTCTATTTTTAAAATTATTTTCTATTTCTCAGTTAAAATTCTCTATCTGCTCCATCACTGAAGCCTTATTTTACTTTAACTTAAATACACATTTTCTTTAATTCCTTGAACATATTTATAACCGCTTATTTGAAGTCTTTGCCTGCTAAATCCAAGAGCTAGGTCTGCTGAGAATGAATTTCTATGGACTGCTTTGCTTCCCCTACCCCAGCCCCATCAGTCACACTTTACTGTCTAGAGAGTTTTGGTTGAAAACTGTATAATATAGATAATGCATTGCAGTTACTTTGGATTCTGTTTTGTTCTTGAGGATTATTAGTTTTTCTGTTCAAGGAGGCAATTATCTTGCCTCGATTCAAGCTCGATCAGTTCTTATTTCTTTCCATGGTTGCTTTTTTACCTAGGCTTCCTGGAAATTCTCTTGTGCCTTTCTGTTGCTTGAACAGCACACATTTCAGGAATGCAATCAATTATAAGAAGCGGTAAACTCAGACATATAGTTCCATATAGCTCTATCTTTCAAGAGTAGTTTTCTTTCAGGTCCGTGCCTACTTTTTCACTCAACTCCCTCTCCTACCCCCATATGCCTAATTTGGCTGTCAGCCCTGGATCTGGTCAGAGTTTATAATCAGGATTTAGGTTTTTCTCTCTGTTTTTCGTTGTTGTTGTTCTTTTGTTGCCAATATTTCTTCTTTAAATTTTCAACTGCTTTTCCTACCCTTAACTTTGATCTTGGCTATTTAAGTCCACATAAAGCTGTTGTTTTCTGAAGCTATGGCAGTTCGCAAGAACTCTCAGGTCAGAAATTCAAAAACTTACAATTTGTACCTCTTTCAGTGTCTTTCTATTTTTGGGTGTGTCCCAGTGTTTTAAAGAATGTATCCAAGTTTTATAACTGTTATCTATGGGAAGTTTTACATAAGCCTTTCACAAATCACATTAGAAATCTATAATCAACTTTCACAGATTAGGAAATAAGGCTTAGAAAAGTTACGCAGTTAGTAAATACCACAGCTAGAATTTTTAATAATTATATCCACCTAAATCTAAAGCCTGACCTTTCCTTGACACTTTCCTGAAATGTCACTATTACACATAAAAACCAGGGTCTCTTATGCCAATAAGTATTTCCATAAATAACACAAAATGTAGTATTACATGCTTTTTTTCATCTATGTATTACCAATTAATTAAACTTCATCTTGACTTAATATGTCTTTCAGTAATGATGTGTCTAGGAATGATTACAATGTTTTACTGACTCAGGATAAAGTGAATGGAAGTAATTTCCAAAATTATAATTTAGCTTCCTAATTTTGTATTTTATATTTAGAGAGCAATAAAATGATTTTTAATTTATTTTCCAGCAACCCTCTTTAACACCTAATCCAAAAAATATTAATAATAAAATTCACAGAAAACTAAGCTATAGGCTTCCAGTTGTCTTAGAAATAGGAAAATACCTTCTTTTGCATTTGTCCTTGAAGATTTTCAGTTGTGTTATTTAACTCTTCCACTTTTGCTGCTGCAACTCTCAGATCTAACTTGGCTTGCCTAAAGTAGAAAGTAAATTAATAAACACTTTTCATAGGCCATAAAGAATTAAAAAAGCTAGAAAAGAAATCTAAATTTGGTAAAATCACTAGTAACTCTTATGTACCTAAAAATGGATCTAAGGGGTATATACTGAAAGATTCCTTTATTACTGACAAAATGCACGTGGAAGAGTAAAGAGGAAAAGTATAGGTGAAGGGCAGGGGTGTAAAGTGGGAGTCATTAATACTTTATTTGGATAAATTATATTTCATACTCAAATGATTCATATTTCATGAAAAAGCACTTTATCATCTTAGTAAATTACCTAACAAGAATGGCAGTGCTAAGTAGAATATAGTTACGTTTATAACTTCCTGAATTTATAGAGTTAAAGAAATATCACTGATTGGTTTTTCTATGAAAATGAACCAAAGCTTCAATGTCTGATCACTCCTTAAACACCAGGAGTATGTATTATATAACCACTTAATATAATGAATTCAAACATTTGTCTCAAGATAGTGTAATAGTTAATTTTTTTTAGAAATTATAGTTGCAAAGGACAAAAATAACAAGTTTTTTCAATGTTCCATTAGTATCAAATAAGTTTCAATATCTTCTTGACTCCCCATAGAAAAAGATTTTAGAATAGTAAGACTTTCTGAAACAGAAAAAAAGATTTTTAATATCCTACCAATTAAGCATTAAGTATGAATACAAAACACTTGGATTACGTAAAAAACATAAACATTTTTAGGAACAAAGCTACTTTAGTGCAGGAACTGCCCATATTTATTTCTTAATTATATTTTATGTAGGTATTATAAATCAACCATTTTAGTGCTGTTGGACTTAAAATATTATTTGATGAGAAATTCACAATATATGTTAATTGATTTACTTTTGGCTAACAGTATTTATAAATTACATTACTGATTAGCATAAGGCAATAGGAAATAAAAATCTAACAGTAGCTAAAATGTATCAGATAATTATTAGGTAACAGAAACTGTCCTAAGTGCTTTGCAATCATCTCACTTAGTACAATTAACTTTCTCTGTAAATTAAGTACTATTAAGACTATTCCACCAAACTAAAGTTGAGAGTGAGGTTGACAGAGATTTACCAACTTGCCCAAGGATTCACAAATTAAGTAATGAAACTGGTATTTAAACAGAGTTCTCTATGATACACTGTCTACAAAAAAATGGTTCCAATAATATAAAATTAAGCACTTTAGGAAAATGCTTTGTTTTGAATAAATCTAATTTATAAAAATCTGAATTTATCAGACATAAAACAGACTTTTTCTACTTGCAAAATGGTTCACCAACAACAAAACTAAAACCAAAAACCACCTTATACCAATGTATTTTAAATCTTCCTCAAGGTTAGAGATAATTTCAGGACTGCAATTATCATATGAATCAATAAATGAACCTACCATTTATAACATTCTGTATATTTTAAAAGGAAAAAATTAAGTAGTAAGATACTTAAGTAAGGCCATGGCATGATTAAGGAAAAAAATGATCGGTTAGAGATACAATCAAAATAGGATGCAATATGGAAAACCCCAGAGTCAGGAACCTAGTTCTGTCACTAACTAGGAATGTGGCCTAATGTAATTCACCTGACCACAAGCATCTCAGCTATCTTATGTCCAACAACAGGGAGGTGGATTAGACAATCTGTTAAAAATCCTTGTTTAATAACATTTTCTGGATTCCCTACTTCTTTGGGCACACAATCAACACTTCTCTGTATGGCATATAAGGCTAATCATCATTTGGCCCCAAGGAGTCTGCAAAGACCAAAACCCTACAATAGATGGTCTCCTGATTTCTAATTTTCCTAATGATTCTACTTCTAAATTGTCTTTCAATTGTGTATTCCATTTCCATTTCATGGCCCAACCTTTGGTCCCATCATTACTTCCAGTACTGGTCCAGTAGTTTCCAAACTGAAGTCCTCACTGTGGGTCTCTTCCTTAATTCAATTAATCCCTGAGAGGCAGCATTCACCAAGACACCTCTCTGAAAACACAGGAGCTGGCTGGTGCCATTTCCCTCCCCCACCCCTCAACATAAATACAGAGCGACCTGTGGGAAGCAGCACAGCGTGACTATTGGCTGCCTAAGGTGCAAACCCCTGAGCTCTGGTGGGACGGCCCTTCTTAGTCAAACTTGTCTCTGTCTCAGCATGGTGGGCCCCTACTCCAGAAGACCAGCACAGACCCCTGCCCACACCATGTCTCCAGACCAGAGGGTTCTGAGCAGATTTAGATTTAGGGCCCTAGTTCTGGTGGAGGTGGTATCAGGTCTCATTTCACAGGCAGACCAGAGCACACCTCATTAAAACTCACTACATTCAGTCAGGGACCAAATACTGCCCACAGGAGGCTAGGAGAGCCTCTGCAGAAGACTGGCCTGAAGGAGAGAGCAGCCAAAACACAATAGCAGAGCATACTCAGTACACAGTGGAGACACTCCCTGAAGTGCCAGACCCTGGGTACTACATGATTTCTTCTTCATAAGGCCAGTATTTTCAGAAGCAGGATACAAAACTGGCTTTTCTAACAAAAAGAAGAAGGCAGAGATTAGACAAAATACTAAGATGGAGGAATTTATCCCAAATGAAAGAAAAGGATAAGACCATGGCCAGATATCTAAGCAAAACAGATATAAGTAACATGTCTGATGAAGAATTTAAAGCAACAATCATAGGATACTTAGCAGGCTTGAGAAAAATAGAAGACATCAGTGAGACACTTACCACAGAGATAAAAGAGTTAAAAAAGAATCCATCAGAGATGAAAAATACAATAAATGAGATTGGAAACAGGTGTGATGCAAGGAACATCAGGTTGGAAGACACAGAGAAAGGAATTGGTGATCTAGAAGACAAAATAATGGAAAATAATGAACCTGAATAAAAGATAGGAAGAATTCTGCAAAACGAGAACATGTATGTATATAATAACATTCGTATTCTAAAGAGTCCGAGAAGAGAGAAAAAAGGTGGCAGAAAATTTATTTCAAGAAATAATAGCAGAAAACTTCCCTAATTGAGGGAAGGAAACAGACATCCAGATACAGGAGGCAGAGAGAACTCTCATCAAAATCAACAAAAGCAGGCCAACACCAAGACATACTGTATTTAAATTTGCAAAATATAGTGATAAAGGAAAAAAAATCTTAAAAGCAAAAAGACAAAAGAAGTCCTTAGCTTATAAGAGAAAACCCATAAGGCTAGCTGGAGATTGTACAACAGAAACTTGGCAAACCAGAAGCGAATGGCATGATAAAGTCAAAGGGCTGAATGGGAAAAATGTACAGCCAAGAATACTCTATCCAGCAAGGCTATCAATCAGAATAGAAGGAGAGATAGATTTTCCCAGACAAATAAAAACCAAAGGAATTCATGACCACTAAACCAGCCCTGCAAGAAATATCAAAGGGGTTTCTTGGAGTGCAAAGGAGAGACCAAAAGTGACAAAGACAAGAAAGGATCAGAGGAAATCACCAGAACAGTGAAAAAACAAGTGATAAAATGGCAATAAATACCTATCAATAATTGCTTTGAATGTAAATGGACTAAATGCTCCAATCAAAAACAGAGGGTGTCAAATGGATTAAAAAAACCCAAACAAACAGCACCCATCTACATGTTGCCTACAAGAGACTCATCTTAGACATAAAGATACTTGCAGATTGAAAGCGAGGGGGTGGAAAACCAATTATCATGCAAATGGATGTGAAAAGAAAGCCAGAATAGCAATACTTATATTGGATAAACTAGACTTTAAAGCAAACATAAAGGAACTAACTGAGAGTAACACAATAACAGTAGGAGACTTTAATACCCCACTTACATTAATGGACAGATCATCTAAACAGAAAAACAATGGCTTTGAATGACACACTGGACCAGATGGACTTAACAGATATATTCAGAACATTCCATCCTAAAACAGCAGAATACACATTCTTTTCAAGTGCACATGGAACAATCTCCAGGATAGATCACATATTTGGTCACAAAACAGGCCCAACAAATACTTGATTGAAATATTTGAAAATTGGGCGCCTGGGTGGCTCAGTTGGTTAAGTGACTGCCTTTGGCTCAGGTCATGATCCTGGAGTCCCGGGATCGAGTCCCACATCGGGCTCCCTGCTCAGTGGGGGATCTACTTCTCCCTCTGACCCTCTTCCCTCTCGTGCTCTCTCTCATTCTCTCTGTCAAATAAATAAATAAAAATTTTTTTTTAAAGAAATATTTGAAAATTATTTGAAGACTGAAATAATACCATGCACCTTTTCTGACCACAACACTATGGAACAAGAAATCAAACACAAGAAAAAAATCTGGAAAGACCACATACATGAAGGTTAAACAACATGCTACTAAACAAAGAATGGGTCAACTAGAAAATCAAAGGAGAAATAAAAAAATCCATGGAAACAAATGAAAGTGGAAACACAATGGTCCAAAACTTTGGGATGAAGAAAATGTAGTCCTAAGAGGGAAGTATGCAGCACTACAGGCCTACCTCAAGAAGCAAGAAAAATCTCAAATAAACAACTTAACCTTACACCTAAAGGAGCTAGAAAAATAACAACAAATGAAGCCTAAAGTCAGCAGAAGGAAGTAATTAAGATTAAAGCAGAAATACATGATATAGAAACTGAAAAAACAATAGAACACATCAATAAACCCAGGAGCTGGTTCTTTGAAAAAAATGAATAAATTGATAAACCTCTAGTCAGAGTACCAAAAGAGAACCCAAATAAATAAAATCACAAGCAATAGAGGAGAATTAACTACCAACCACCACAGAAATCCAAACAATTATAAGAGAGTATTATAAAAAAAGTATATGCCAACAAATTGGACAATGGATAAATTCCTAGAAACATACAAACTACCAAAACTAAAACAGAAAGAAATAGAAAACTTGAACAGACTGATAACCAGCAAAGAAATTCAATCAGTAATCAAAAAGTCCCAACAAACAA